AGTAATGTCAGAAACTCTATGACATCAAAAAACGGATGCCATGTTTCCTGCAATGATTGCAGTCTGCTGTCAACATGCCCCAATAATTAATATTGTCAATTTTTTTAAATAAACTTGTTGCAGCTCCATCCCCTCCACAACCCGCACCTTGGCCATTTGTTGAAGTTGTACCGACACCGCCCGAAATTCTCTACCCCTACCCTCCTTCTTCCGGTGAGTACGAAGATTTCTACTCACACATGAGTTTCATTTCAACAATATATGTACTTACGGCACGTGACTTTCTGATTTTTAGGTTTCTCGAGTTATCCTTGGGGCCCGAAGCCTGAAGTGCCCGAAGTCCGAAGATACGAAGATTGGTAAGGAAACATCCAAATCCAATACACTTTCTCGAATTAGAGGGCTCAATAAATATTAATGCTGGTATGTCCATAGTGTCAACAAAGTCACACAAAACATGCCTTTTGAGAACAGTAACGAACAAAATTTTGTGATCACTCGAATCACCACAGCATTCTCCCTCTAGGAGAGAAAGCTCTACTAGGCTGAAGTAGAATTGCACACAAAACAGTAACTTTTAATCGTGGCCAAATGATAGGATGTGGTGTGAAGGGCTCAGCAGTGAGGACTCAACCTATTTGGTGCTATGCGCCCCAGTTTTTCGAGAAGACCTCCAGAGGGTTCTGCTTCACAGACATGTCTACGATTCTAGTCGAAAGACAAGTGCATGGCGCAAAAAAGACAAACACTACTTATCCCTCTCTATAATTTCCGGCATAATGGTAAAGCATATCCACCGAACCTCATCAAACGGCACCGCTCACAATAATGCTTCATTGAACAGGACCCGCTCAGAGACATGTCACTCACATCGTCATTAACTCAACTACCTATGGCCGCCAAATATACCGCTCATGGGCCCCTCTAATAGATCTATTATATCGCTAATCGTATGCGAATTCCTGGCGGTGAAGTTGACTAATTGCAAACCAAATCTCAGGTACCTGCCAATATGAAATTGTCTATTTAAACTATTAATAAGGACCCTCCGGAAGTGTACATAATCGCTTATGAGTAAACGGCTATACACTTCAAACACACCGTCGACTTTTACAAGTTTTGGCAAATACTGTGTGAGCCTTTGACAGCCTAAATGTAAATATAGTTATCATTAAAGGATAATTTCACGATAGTTTAAAGTAGTCTAAATTATGATGAAAATGAAAGGGACGGTGGGAAACAGTGCCATGAAGGTGTCTACAATGAGTATCATTGCGTACGTGTGGGTCCTGACGCGAATATTGCAGTCTGTAGAGCCTCGACACTCATCTGACAAATCATGGGTCGATCCGCGTGGCATCCGACCGATCCGGTAATGGGGCTCCTACATATTACTCCTATTATGTCCTTGCTCTTGAGTTTTTGGGCTCGACAGTATCCTCTTGTTACCCTCGGAGGCCAGTGGGTAATCTTGACCATTTTTATAAACCTAGGAAACCATTTTTATCGTGAACTGTCCTCTAACTGACTAGAGTTGCCACAAGTCTCACATGCATGTGAAAACTTGGAGTCATCTGGTCGGTTTTAGGTTTTAGATATTATAGCTGAAGGTTTAACTCATTTTGAAGTGCTTGACTAGGTTACCAGTAGGTTTTAACAGAAGGTAGGAGAATGTTAATTCGTAGAAAAGCTGTCAATTGAAAATAAATCCTTCGGTAGGCGAATATTTCTCCGAGCGAGTCCTAGTTCTCAATGCAGAACACGATGAAGACGTAATACTGGGGCCTGCTGTGCGTAACTTGACGCGTGAGCAACGAGTTCAACCGCGACCTCGGGCGGACGGAAGGGGGTCAAGCGAAGGGCCGTCGTCCCTCTAGTTCCTTGCATGTCTACCTA